AAGCCTTTTCACTTAAGGCTAACACACTACCACTTTGGGCCATAGGGCCACTTCCAGTTTTCTGGTGGAGTCTCAGGGGTACTTTTCTACCTGGGCTGATTTTGACCTATGATCCTCAGATCTCAGCCTCCTGAGTAGCTAGGTTATAGGCATGAGCCACATGCACCAAACACTGTTTCTTTTCAACCTGAAATATTTTTTAAAATGGCTTTTCATTCTTTGATTCTTGGAAATGATTACACAAAGTAGAATATATAAGGATTTCCTATAAGAAAAAGAAAGATATCCTTTTTTTCCTTCCTAGTGATTTTCAGCTTTTTCTTAGCCCATTTAGGTCAGCACTTCATCTTTAGAAAGCAGATTCCAAAGGCCGCTTGGACCCCATTCCTAGCTCTAACATGCCTCAGAGGTCAAACTGTTGTAAATATAGTTCATACACTGGGTAAATACGGTTGAGGTTTGTTTCTCTTCAAAGACACTACATTATATTTGCCCACGTTAAAAGAGATATTCTTGTAGGTTATTCTTAAGATGATTTGAGATCAAACACTTTACCACTTGAGACATATCCCATCTTGTTTTTGCTTTTGTTTTCAAATAGGGTCTTACATTTATGACCAGGCTGGCCTGGACTGTGAGCCACATACGCTTGCATTTTCCAACCATATCCAGCTTTAAAAAAAAAAAAAATTGGTTCGAGTCCTGAAATCTTTTTGCCTAGGCTTCTCTCAAGTTGTGATACCCCTAACCTCAACTTCCCAAGAAGCTGAGATACTGCTTTGAGTCACAAATAGATTTTTGTCCGTGTAGGTCTTGAACTCAGGGCCTGGGTGCTGGCTCTGAGCCTCTTTGTACTCAAGGCTAGCACTCTACCACTTGAACCATAGCACCACTTCCTGTTTTTTTTTTTTTTTGGGTCTAGTCGAGGTGCCTGAACTCTGGGCCTGGGCGCTGTCCCTCAGCTCTTCAGCTCAAGGCTAGCACTCTACCACTTGAGCTACAGCGCCACTTCTGGCTTTTTTCTTTTTGCATATGTGGTGCTGAGGAATCGAACCCAGGGCCTCATGCATGCAAGGCAAGCGCTCTACCACTGAGCCACCTTGCCACACCACTTCCTGTTTTTGAGTGGTTTACTGGAGATTACAAGTCTCATGGGGACTTTTCTGCCTGGGCTGGCTTTGAACTGTGATCCTTAGATCTCAGCCATCTCAGACTCCTGAGTAGCTAGGATTACAGGAGTGAGCCACTGGTGTCTGGTGACAGATTTATTTTTAATTGGACTATTTAGGATCAAACCCAGGTCCTTGTGCATGCTAAGCTGTCACTTTACCATTAAGCTCCATCCCCAACCCGTAAACAAAATATTCAAATGCAAGTCAGCATTATTATTTTTTTTATTTTTTGCCGGTCCTGGATTTGAACTCAGGGCTTGGGCACTGTGCTTGAGCTTCTTTTGCTCAAGGCTAGTACTCTATCACTTGAGCCACAGCACTACTTCTGGATTGTTGTGTTTCTGTGGTACTGAGGAATCGAACCATGCATGCTAGGCAAGCACTCTATGACTAAGCCACATTCCCAACCCAAGTCAGCATTATTATTGTTATCTAAGTTCTAAAGTGTACCAGGCTCTATTCTTTTTAGCAAAGAGAATGCAAAACGCAAATATCCTAGAAGTATGTTTGGTAATTTTTTTTTTTTTTTTTT